GTCGACGTCGTCGTCGTCATTCACCTCTTTTGCTCTTTCCTCCTCCACATATCCCCTCCATTCCGCTGGTCCCCCTGCTTCTCCTCCTCGTCCTCCTCCTCCTTCTCCTCCTCGTCCTCCTCCTCCTCCTCCTCCTCCTCCTCCTCCCTGCCTTCTCCTCTTCTTCCATACCCGTTATGGGCCTGGTGTTCACTGGGCTACGGCGTGTAGGCACGTGTCCGTAATTACAGCAAACGGCCGGCCGATCTCGAGATCAGTAAGGCAGTGGCGAATTGCAGCCTGCTGCTGCTGCTGCTCCTCTTCCAGCTGCTACTCTTTCTCCTTGTCAGTGTGGTTCTCCTCCTCCTCCTCCTCCTCTTCCTCCCTGTCCTCCCGAGGGGGACTGGGAGGGAAGAGGAAGATGATGACGACGAAGAGGAAGACGGGATGATGATGAGGAGGCGGATGATGATGAGGAGGATGAGGAGACGAAGGAGGAGGAGGAGGAGACGATGGAGGAGGAGGAGGAGGAGGAGGAGGAGGAGGAGGAGGAGGAGGATGATGATGAGGAGGAGGAGGGGGATGATGATAATGATGATGATGATGCTGATGCTGATGCTGATGCTGCTGCTGCTGATGATGATGATGATGATGATGATGATGATGGTGATGAGGAGGGGGAGGAGGAGGAGGAGGAGGAGGAGAAGGATGAGGAGGAGGAGGATGATGATGCTGATGATGATGAGGAGGAGGAGGAGGATGAGAAGGAGGAGGAGGGGGAGGAGGAGGAGGAAGAGGTGGAGGAGGGCGAGGAAGACAAGGTTGTAGGACGAGGAGGGTGGCAGAATGCGGCGTGGGATGGAAGGATGATTATGATGATGATGCTGATGATGATGATGATGATGATGATGATGATGATGATGATGATGATGATGATGACGATGATGATGATGATGATGCTGATGATGATGCTGATGATGATGATGGTGGTGGTTGTGGTTGTGGTGGTGGTGGTGGTGGTGATGCTGATGCTGATGCTGATGCTGATGCTGATGCTGCTGATGATAATGATGATGCTGCTGATGATGACGATGATGATGAGGAGGAGGTGAGGCGGAGGAGGAGGAGGAGGAGGTATGAGGCCATGGGCAGGGATAGGGGTGGGTGGGTGGGTGGGGAGGCGGGCGGATGATGGGGAGGGCGGCGGAGCAAAGTAAGCTTGGCACGCGTCTCTGATGCTGGAATTGCGCGGCTGGAGTACGGTCGGGAACTTTGGGATAGCGTGTCGCTCTGCTGGTTCTGGCCCACCACGCTTCGGCGCGACACGCTATCCACTTCTCAGCCCCCAGGCGTCCATGTTTCGAGTCTTTTCAAGCTTCCCGCCCCGCGGAGCGGAGCGACACGCCGTATAGCATAGCGTGTCGCTAGGGCCGCCGCCGCGACACGCTATGCAAAAGTTCCCGACCGTGACACACACGGGGCATAGTGGAGGCAGGTGCCGCGTGCGCGGAAGGCACGGCATGTGGCCGATCTGGGCAAGCAAGCCAGAGCCGCGTGCAGGGCACGCCGATCGGCGCCTCCTCCAGAAAACGTGAGGCGACTGTACCACCACGTCCCAGTCAGTATCGTTTAACCGACCCCTATCCCTATCCTCATCCCTATGCAGACCCCAACCATCTTAGCGCCACAGTTGGGGGTATACCCTTAGAAACCCGAGGGAAACATACCAACTTACGATATCCTTATATAGGGTGGTAAATCGGCCATTGGGGCCTAGGCCACGCCCATGGGGATAGAGGTACGATGCTCACCAGGTCCCCTCCTCGCGGGCACGCACTGCGGTGCAGCTCCGCTGCGGCGATTGCTCGCGAGAGGCGGTGGTTTCAGGGCGGCGCGGGTCCCAGGGGTCGGCGGGGGCGCGGTGGACCCCCCGTGGCCCGGCCGCGAGCTCGGAGCTCGGGAGGCATCGGGGAGTCGGGGCTCCGTGGCCCTTCTCGTGGGAGGAGGAGGGCTGGGGCGATGACGGCGAGGAGGAGGAGGACGACGACGACGACCACGACCACGACCACGACCATGACGGCCACGACGACGACGACGGCCACGACGACGACGACGACCACGACGGCGACCACGACCACGACCACGACGACGATGTCGACGACGAAGACAACCACGTCGACGACGACGATGACGACGACGCCGACCACAACGACGACGACGACGAAGACAACGACGACGACGACGACGACGCCACGACGACGAAGATGAAGACGACGACGATGAAGACGATGCAGGTGACGACGACCACGACGACGACGACGACCGTGCCAACCACGACGACGACGACGACGACCACGACTACGACCACGACGACGACGACGAAGACGTCGACGACGAAGACGACGACGCCGACGACGACGACCACGACGACGACGACGACGCCGTCCTCGACGACGACGACGACTACCACGACGACGACGAAGATGAAGACGACGACGATGGCGATGACAACGACGATCACGACGACGACCACGACGACCACGACGACCACGACGACGATGGTGACGATGCAGACGATGACGACGACTACGACGACGACAACGATCACGACGACCATGACGACGACGCCGACGACGACGACGACGACCACGACGACTACGAATACGAAGACGACGACGACCACGACAACAACGACCACGACGACGACGACCACAACGACGACGACCACGACGATGATGACGACGACGCAGACGACGGCGACCACCACGACGACGACGATGACGACCACGACCACGATGACCACGATGACCACGACGACGCCGACGACGACGACCACGACGACGATGAAGACGATGCAGGCGACGACGACCACGACGACGACGACCATGACAACCACGACGACGACGACCACGACTACGACCACGACGACGACTAAAACGTCGACGACGAAGACGACCACGACGACGACGACGACCACGACGACGACGACGCCGTCCTCCACGACGACGACGACTACCACGACGACGACGAAGATGAAGACGACGACGATGGCGACGACAACGACGACCACGACAACGACCACGACGACCACGACGACCACGACGACGATGGTGACGACGCAGACGATGACGACGACCACGACGAGAACGATCACGACGACCACGATGACGACGCCGACGACGACGACGATCACGACGACTACGAATACAAAGACGACGACGACCACGACGACAACGACCACGACGACGACGACCACGACGACGACGACCACGACGACGATGACGACGACGCAGACGACTGCGACCACCACGACGACGACGTTGACGACCACGACCACGATGACCACCATGACCACGACGACGCCGACGACGACGACCACGACGACGACGACGACCTCGACCACGACCACGACGGCCACGACGACGTCGACGACGACGACGACTACCACGATGACGACGAGACGACGAGGGGTGGCGGGTCGTCGTCATCGTCGTCGGAGCCATCCGGGCACCTGTCGGGGCAGGGCGAGGTCGCTCTTCCAGCGTGCACCCCCTCCCCCCTGGGCGTGGGGATGAGCGCCGCGGGGCCCGATGGAGTTGGGCACGCGTCCCCTCGCTCATGGGGGTGGGGGCAGGAGGGCCGGCGGGGCCGGGCTTTCCCGGGTGGGGGCGATTTGGCGTCGCCTCTTTTTAGGCCTTGGCGACGAAAAGAATAGGGTTTTGCAGTAGAAACCCGTGCCAAGAAACACCTTGCTTGCCTCCAGGGTGCCCTGTTTTTTGGGGGTTTCGATGGTTTTGGTGTGGAAAGCGTGACGTTCCCACCAAAAATCAATGGACGTTCTGGGGTCTCAGGGTTGGGTTCTTGTGGAAGGTTTCTTGTGGTCGAGCTCATTGCTGTACGCGAGATGACATGGCGACCTTACGCGGCGGCTTCCGCGGGCTGCTAGCGCGACATGCCGAAGTGGAAGCCAGGGCGCTCACGCGCGAGCTTACGCGGGCAGCTTACGCGCAAATGTCGGCGAAGACGTGCCCGTTTTCTTCCGTCACCCAATGGGGTCGGAAGATCGCGCCGCATCGTGGATGCGTCGGCGATGCGGCTCGGTGTGGAGCCTGATTTTCTTCACGTCGACGTCGCCGACGGATCGTTGACGCATCGTCGATGCATCGCCAATGTATCGTCGATGCGGCGCAATCCTCTGGCCCCATCTAATCTCGTACCCATCCTAGCCCGAAAGTGCAGCCACACTGACTTCTGGCCGCGCGTGTGCCACGGCACAGTGGGTCTGAGAGGGGGGATTGCTCTCCATCGGCGCTGCTGGTGGAAACTCGAGGGAGGACTTGTGTGGCCTCGTTGAGAGAGCGTCGGGCGCACGAACCATGACGGGGGCCCGCGCGGAAGCGCGGTTTCGTCAAGGTGCTTTGCAACCGTGTGACGGATCACACGGATGGGGGTCTTAAGCGAGATCGAGCTTTTGAATGGCAATTAATTGCCCTCGATCCGTGAGGCCACTGACACATACACATTTCAAGACTAGCCCTCCAGGCAGCAGCGCGATGAACTCGCACCGCTTTCCATCAGTGGAAGAGTTAGAGGCTCCAATATTGAGGGCTGTAAGCAGCGGGGATGTCTCAAGCGAGACTGCCATTGTGAAAACGACCTGCCTCCATCTGCGTATCTGCTGGCCGTTCCAAACATCAGGATCATCAGTTGTGGGTTGGACTCAAGCGATACCGCGATCTCTGGACATTTCGAGCTATCCGGTAATAGCGAGTGAGGAAGTCGTGAGCGGGAGCCCCATCTTGAAAACTATCCTCCCTTTATCTGTGTATCTCTCGGGCATTTCGAGCTTCATGACCCCAACTTGTTAGGAAGCCTCAGGCGGACGGCCCAGCCTGCCTCACCGGCGTGTGCCAGAATGCCACAATGCGGGGTGGAGGAGGGGGGGAAGATCACGACAGGGGAGGTGAACAGAGCCACTAGGCTCCAGCAGAGGCAGGGCAAGCCAGGACAGTGAGGGCCCCATGGAGTCCAAGTCCAACCTCTTTGACCGCAATGCCTCCTACTCGTGCCTCTCGGGCTTGGTAGGGGAGGGCGAGGAAGAAGAGAAGCTGCCAGAGCCCCGGCGCAGCAAAAGCTACTCGAAGATTCGGCACCTGGAGGGCCTGGACTACGAGTCGAAGAACTTGGACGTGCCGATCGTGGTGGTCTCTTCCGAGGTGGAGCCGTGGTCGAAGTCTGGAGGGCTCGCAATCGTGGCAGGCGCCTATGGCTACGAGTTCGCCATGCGCGGGCATCGCACAATGGTCGTTTCCCCGATGTACGACGACTACCCAGGCCTCGTGTGGCTCGCGGACAAGGATGTCCAGTTCTACGGGGGCAACCACCGCATCAAGTATTTCCTCTTGCGCAAGGAGCATACGAAGCAGGCTGGTGGCCCGACCACGGACTACGTGTTTGTGCACCTTGATTGCTTTCGCCGCGGAGGGGGACTGTACCACGATCAGAACGGCGAGTACGGAGATAACCTCTTCCGCTTCGGGCTGTTCTCATTGGCTGCGTTGGAAGCTCCGCTGTGCTGTAACATCGGGGGCTCGACATACGGAGACAAGTGCCTCTTCATGGCCAACGACTGGCAGGCTGGCTTGGTGCCAGTGATGTTGGCACACAAGTTTCGAAAGCACGGCACCTACCAGCATGCTCGGTCCATCTTCGTGGTGCACAACATGGGCTATCAGGGAGCCTACCCGTGGACGGGTTCGGAGCTAGAGAACTTGACCTTGCCTGACTCTGCCCACGACAACCTCTTCTTCACCTACCCAGAGCACATGCGCACTCACTCCCTGGACAGGGGCCACTGCATTAACTTGACGTTAGGAGCGCTGATCACTTGCGATAGGGTGCTGACGGTTTCCGCTAACTATGCACACGAGATATGCACCGACGAGGGTGGCTTCTTGATGCAGGACGTTTGCAGGGGCAAGGGCATCTATCTGGCAGGTATACAGAATGGAATCGAGGACACGTGGGACCCGACGAGCGATACTAAAATAGCGGCCACCTACTCGGCGGAGGACTTGACGGGCAAGGCCGCTTGCAAGAAGGCCCTTCAACAGGCCCTCGGCTTGAATCAGGAGGAGGACACGGCTTTGGTCGGGTTTGTGGGCCGGCTCACGACCCAGAAGGGCGTTGACATTTTGCAGGACGGCGTGGTGGACTGGATGCTGCGGGACGAGGGGAACGGCGTGACAGGCCGCGTGCAAGTGATCCTGATGGGGAATGGCGACGCGCACTTGTCCGAATGGTTGAAGACGATGGAAAATCAGAACAAGGGCCGGGTGTGCGGGTACGCAGGCTTCGACCCCAAGGTGGAGAGACTCATGATGGCAGGCTGCGATTTCTTGCTCATGCCCTCACGCTACGAGCCGTGCGGGATTCCTCAGATGGTTGCCCTCACCTACGGCACAGTGCCCGTGGTGCACGCCACGGGTGGCCTGAAGGACAGCGTGAAAGACGCACGCTCCACGGACCCCGCAGTGACCTCGGTCGCCAACGGGTACTACGTGCTGCCGCTCACGTCGGACAAGTGGAAGGAGGTGATGTGGGTCGCGCTGGAGACCTACCACAAGAACCGCCCAGAGCACACCCGCTTGATGAAGAATGGCATGGCCTGCAACTTCTATTGGCCAATGGCTGTTCAGGAGTACGAGAAGCACATCGACTACACGATGGGGGATCCTCCACTCTACAAGTGCTGAGATGCTGTTGGCAGGGCCAGTGTTCAAGCCGACTGGCTGGAGGCAAGCAGTTCGGGGAGTCCCCCCTGGCCTTTTGCTTCAACATGTCCACGCAGAATTACTCAAAGGTGCTCCTGAGGAGTGTGAGCCGTGCAGGTGCTCCTTAGGAGTGTGAGCCGTGCTCTTGCGCATGCGATGTGTCTGTGGTCAGGAGTGTGGGCATGGGCGCTGGCCGACACGTCGGTCGACTTCCACCATACCGTGGATGCGGTGGTCGACGCTTTGGGGGAATGCGATGGTCTTGGCCCAATCTGGGGCCCCGGAGGGCCCCCAGTCCTTGCGCTCCCGGCCCTTGCTGCTCCAGCTGCAGCTGACGTCGATCATGTGTTCCCGCACGCGTTTAGAGTCAAGAGTGCCAGCCCAAGCCGTTTCGACCGAACTGGGTCAAGAGTCTCCAGTGTCGTGGCCTTCTCACTCTGCAGGGACCCCTGGGAGGCCTCGGGTCTCCACGATGCTCCGCGCGGGCTTCGCGAGAAGTCGTGATGGGTACCGAGGCCTCACGGCTCGCTAAGCAAGAGTTCCTCGCGCGGGCCCCACGAGGCCTCGCGACACGCCATCCACTCGCCAAGCATAGCATGTCGTCGGGGCCGCCGCCGCCATCCAACTTCGGGTGCCTCCAGTTCAAGTCGTCTAGAGTCAAGAGTGCCAGTGTCTGTCCAGACTGGGTGATACGGCCTTGGTTGCCAAGGTCTTCGAAGAAGTGGCCGTGGCAAAGCTCGTCGCAAGAGCTTCATGGCTGTTCGACGTGCCTCTGCCGATGCAACTTCACGGGGCGAAAGCAAGTTCGTAAGTTCGTGCCGCGCCGACACGGCGGTGACGCCGACGCGGGCGCTCAAGGTTGGAGGCCACAGGGGGCCTGAGCCAGGCCAATCTTGAACGACCTGCGCTGTCGAACAGTGGATATAATCCAAGATTGAGCGATCTACGCGTTGTCAGAAGCCAATGTCCACGTCGTCGCGACAGGTCCAGCCGCATTCCAGTAATTGTTGACGCTTCGCGTGTCCGCATCAGCCCATCCAGAAACGGTGCCAAGGGGAGTTGAGTTGATCAGGGAAGTGGGGAAGCATGCAGAAAAACAAAGGGGGGGAAGCCGTCATGTACCCTAAGTGGGGGATGATGGAGGAGGAATCGTCGTCGTCGTCGAAGGAAGAGGAGTTGGAGGAGGAGGAGGAGGAGGAGGTAGAGTAGGGCGAGGACGATGAGGACGAGAAGGAATAAAATGAGGAGAAGGAGGGAGAGTTGGGTGCCTCGGGGATCCTCTTGAGGCCTCGTATGGGGTCTTTGGGGTCTCTTGAGAGCCTCTTGGAGGCTTCTTGGGGCTGTCTGGGCGCCTCTTGGGGCCCTCCTGGGCCGCTCTTGGGATCTTTAGAGGCGCTCTTGGGGCCATCTTCGAGGACATCGATCAAAAAAGAGGGGAGCTCCAATCAGTCTCTCTGAACACGAAAAGGTTCAGAGGTGGAGGAGAATGGTGCTGAGCAGGATTAGGTGGACTAGCAGGCTGAGGAGCGAAAGGATGACGAGGAGATGGATGATGGAAGGTGACGAGGAGGGCGAGGAGGATGACTGGGGGCGGGTTTGATGATAGTATGGTGATGATGCTGATGATGATGATGCTGATGGTGATGATGATGGCGATGATGATGGTGATACTGATGATGCTGATGATGATGGTGATGATGAGGATGATGGTGATAGATAGTGATGGTGATGATGATGGTGATGATGATGCTGCTGCTGCTTATGATGATGCTGCTGCTGCTGATGATGAGTGTGATTGTGGTGTTGATGATGCTGGTGATGATGATAATGACGATGCTGATGATTATGATGATTGTGATGATGATAATGATGATGATGCTGCTGATGATGATCGTAATGATGATGGTGATGATGCTGACGATGATGATTGTGATGGTGATGATGGTGATGCTGCTGATGATGATGGTGATGATGATGACGATGATGATGATGACGCTGATGATGATGATGCTGATGCTGATGGTAATGACGATGCTGCAGATGATTACGATGATGATGATGCTGACGATGATGATGAGTGTGATGGTGATGATGGTGATGATGCTGATGGTGATGATGGTGATGATGATGACGATGATTAAGATGATGATGACGCGGATGATGATGGTGATGATGATGATTGTGATGGTTATGATGATGCTGCTGGTGATGACGATGATGAAGATGATGATGCTGCTGATGATGATTGTGATGGTGATGGTGATGATGATGACGCTGATGATGATGCTGCTGATGATGATTGTGATGGTGATGATGGTGCTGATGATGACGATGGTGATGGTGATGTTGATTATGCTGATGGTAATGATGACGCTGATGATGATTGTGATGATCATGATGCTGATAATTGTGAGGATGCTGATGATGATGACGCTGATGACCATGATGATGGCGGTTGTGATGGTGATGATGATGATGATGCTGACGATGATGATGATGATTATGATGAGGACGACGATGATGATGATGATGATGCTGACGCTGCTGATGATGATGCGGTTCATGATGGTGACTATGCTGATGATGATGGTGATGATGCTGACGCTGCAGATGATGATGATGATTGTGATTGTGATGATGATGCTGCTGCTGATGATGGAGATGATGATGACGATGATGATGACGATGATGCTGCTTCTGACGATGATTGTGATGGTGATGATGATTCTGATGATGCTGATGATGATGGTGATGATTGTGATGATGATGATTATGATGATGATGACGATGATGATGCTGATGATGATGACAGTGATGATGATGGTGATGATGGTGATGACGCTGATGATGATGATTGTGATTGTGATGATGGTGATGATGATGATGGTAATGATGATGCTGATGATGATGACGCTGATGATGATGGTGATGGTGATGACTCTGATGATGATGATAATAATGATGATGTTTGTGATGGTGATGCTGATAATGATGATGATGCTGCTGATGATGATGATGATTGTGATGTTGACGATGATGATGGTGATCACGGTGATGATGATACTGGCGCTGATGATGATGCTGATTGTGATGATGTTGATGATGCTGGCGATTAAGCTGATGATGACGATGATGATGATGATGATGCTGATGACGCTGATGATGCTGAGGAGTCTGATGGTGATGATGATGCTGATGCTGATGATTGTGATGACGATGATGGTTGTGATGATGATGGTGATGACGTCGATGATACTGACGAATGTGATGGTGATGATGCTGCTGATGATGATTACGATGACAAAGATGATGATGATTGTGACGGTGATGCTGACTGTGATGATGACGATGATGGTGATGACGCTGATGAGGATGGTGGTGATGATTGTGATTGTGATTGTGATGATGATGATGATGATAACGCTGACGATGATGATGATGATGATGATGATGATGATGATCGTGATGATGATGATGATGACGCTAATGGTCATATGATGATTGTGATGGTAATGATGATGATGACGATGATTGATTGTGATGACGATGATGATCATGATGATGATGATAATGATGATGGCGCTGATGATGATGAGGATGGTGAGTGTGATTTGTGATGATGATGATGGCGATAATGATGATGATGCTGATGATGATCACGATACTGACGATGACGACGCTAGTGATGATGCAGGTGATGATGATGATTGTGATGGTGATGCTGATAATGGTGATGATGACGATGATGTTGATGATGATCATGATGATGACGCTGATGATGATGATGATGAGGATGATTGTCATGGTGATGATGATGGTGCTGATGATCATGGTGCTGATGATGATGATGATGATGATGACGCCCATGGTGATGACGCTGATGGTGATGATGATGATGCTGATGATGGTGAAGGTGATGATGGTGATGGAGATGATGGTGATGATAATGACGGTGATGATGATGATTGTGATGGTGATGATGATGACGATGATGATGCTGATGATGATGATGATGATGATGATGATGATGATGATGATGATGATTTTGATGATGATGGTGTTGATGACGATGGTGATGACGATGGCACGGATGCTCGTGATGACGATGATGACGACGATGACGACGATGCTGATGATAACGATGATGATTGTGATGATGATGACTGTGATTCTGATGCTGATGATGGTGGTGATGATGGTGATTGTGAAGGTGGTGATGATGGTCCTGAAGATGACGATGATGGTAATGACGATGATAATGATGATGATGATGATGATGATGATGATGATGATGAAGATGGTGACGCTGATGATGATGATGATGACGATGATTGTGATGGTGATGATGGTGATGATGGTGATGATGCTGACGATGATGGTGACGCGACGCTGTTGATGATGATGATGTTCATGACGCCTGTTTTGATGATGATGGTTGTGATGACGATGATGACGCTGCTGATGATGATGATTCCTCCGACGACGATGATGATGAATTTGATGTGAATGATGATGATGCTGATGATGATGATGATGATGATGATGATGATGATGATTGTGATGATGATGATGATTCCGATGGTGAGGATGATGATGACGCTGATGATGATGGTGATGGCTGTGATAATGATGACGATGATGATGATTGTGATGACCGTGATGACGACAATGATGATGATGATGGTGATTGTGATGATGATAAATGTCATGATGATGCTGAGGATGATGATGATGCTGATGATGCTGGCGATGATTGTGATTGCGTGGCTATGATGATGACGACGGTGATGATTGTGATGGTGGTGATGATGAGTATGATGATTGTGGTGACGATGGTGATGATGATACAGCTGATGATGGTAATGACGACGGCGATGATGATGGTGATGACTTATGATGATGATGATGGTGATGATGATGATGATGACGCTGATGATGATGATTGTGATGGTGCGGATGATGATGGAGCCGAATATGATGATGATGTTGATGATGATGATTATGATGGTGATGATGATTCTGATTATGATGCTGACAATGATTGTGACGGTGATGATGATGACGAAGACGCTTACGATGGTGATGACGGTGATTATGACTCTGATGATGATGATTGTGATGGTGATGTTGATGATGACTGCGGTGATGTTGACGACGATGATGAGGATGAGTCTGCTGGTCATTATGATGATGCTGATCATGATGCTCATTATGATGATTGTGATGGTGGAGATGATGGTGGTGATGATGAAGATGACGGTGATGATGATGAGGATGACTCTGATGATGATGATCGTAATGATGGTTGTGATGATGATGATAATGATAATGATGATGATTGTGATGATGAAGATGGTGACGCTGATGATGATGATGCTGGTGATGATGATGATATTGTTGGTGCTGATGGTAATGATGATGATGGCGCTGATGATGATGATGATGTTGAGGATGATGGTGAGGGTGATGATGATAACGATGATGATGATGCTGATAATGATGGTTACGCTGATGATCGTGACTATGCTGGTGATGATGCTGATGATGCTGATGATGCTGATGATGCTGATGATGCTAATAATAATGATGATGATGATGATGATGATGACGCTGATGATGGTGATCATCATGATGATGCTGATGATGATTGTAATGGTAATAATGATGATGATTGTGATGGTGAGGCTGATGCTGATGATGGTGATGATGATGATGACGACGGTGATGATGATGACGGTGCGATGATAC